AAAAAAAAACTAAAAAATAATTATTTATAATAAATATTTATTAATGTTTATAACTATTTTAGATAAATAAAAATTTTAATAGATAAAATATGTTTATAAAAAATAAAGATTATCGTTTTGATGAAGTAAAACAAATTTGATATTAAATATTTGTTTAAATTTGATTTATAAATATTTGTTTAAGTAATATTTGATTTATATTGCCATCTTTATATCAGTATATATTATTTTATTATTTAACAGATTTTAATTGTAATAAATAAATGTAATATATGTTTTTTGATGATTTTATTTTAGATTTTTTACTATTTTCTTTTGAATATTAATTTTATATTCGAACATAATTTTATTATTCGTTATTAAAAAATTTAAAATTTCTTGAAAAATAAAAATCAAACACTTAAATAAAAATATAAAAATTCAATTTTATTACACCAATTTAATTCATTCTATATTTTCATCTCCATCTATGTCTTCAATCAAATAGATTCGATAAATAATTCATTTTATTTTTTATAAATTCAACCAAATCTTTATATTTTCAAAATTATTTTATTTAACGTATGTAAACTTATATTCACTCATTATTTTCTACAAATATATTGTTTTTAAAATTTCATGAATTCTTCTATCACATAAATATATATATATATATATAAAATATATATATAATATAATATATATAAAAAAATATATATATATAATTCTTTAATTTTAATTTTCTTTTAATTTAAATATAATCAAAATTAATAAAATCTCTTTTTGAATATACAAATTTTATCATCCATTCGTTTATAAATATGTCTTTCTTAAAATTTCTCCAATTTCTTTCTGATATAAACTCTAGCATATCCATTTATCATTCTTTAACATTTTAAGTATATTTCTCCTCATTTTTCTAATAGAGGCGATTTGTTGTTCAAACTCATCCAGACCATTATTCTATATTCTATATTTTCAAAATTATCTTCTTTTAGATATATAAATTTCATGCTTACTTGGTATTTTCTATAATATTTTTTACATTCTTTACAAATACACCTCTTTCTTCATTTTAACAAAGATTTTTCCAAAATAAATTTTCCCAAAATTTCATTTTCCAAAATTTTTCAAGAAATAAAAACCAAATTCCTTTAAAATAGAAATTCAACTTTCCTATATCAGGATTCAATTTATCTCTTATTGCATTTTCATTTCCATCCACACATTATCATTTAGATAGATGATCTTCATTGTTTTCGAAACTCAAATTTTATATTTTCAAAATTATTTTAATTTTTTCTTTTACATTGTTTTCTGATTCAAATATATCTCTTTCTTAAAATTTTTTGAATGCCTTTTTTTCTTATATCCATTTATAATTTTTTACAAATGTACTTCTTCTTACATTTTAATAAAGACTTTTTCCAAAATTTTTCAAAAAATAAAAATCAAATTTCTTTAGAATAGAAATTCAATTTTTCTATATAGATTCGATTCGTTTCATTGTATTTTTATCTTTTTCTATTTGACCGGAAACGAGCTACGTGTCGTTAGCAGCGCACGCTTATGATACACAATTCTGCAAAACTTGGCCGGATGTTGAGCCACGTAAGGCATACACCGGATTTCACTTCGAGAATCTGATTGCACTGTAATTAGTGGAGTGCGTAGCAACGCATGCTTTATTGTCATTACATCATGAATAGAGATAGTCTGCATCCTTTATTAGAATTCTGCTCACGTTCCTGATAATGACATTACGCATTTTTTAGGATCTTCTTTACTCTATTTTCGTCGATTCGGTTCGTCTCTCTTCATCTACAGATTTATTCTTTCGGATCTTATTATGCGTTGAATTCTTTATCTATCTACTTTATCTACTTTATCTCGAACATTTGGATGTGTATGTTATCTTGAGATTAAAGCCGGAAATGAATTGAAGCTCATTTTTGCCTCGGAATTTCTCATGTTTTTATTATTTGTTTCTCTTGGATTGCATTTTCTCTGAAGATCATTTGAATGAAATGAATCGAGGTATTTACGATTGTATTTTGATTTTTTTAATTATTTTTTAACTATTTACAAAGATAGGGAATAAGTTGAACAGAAATATAGAACTAAAATTATTTTTTGTCTATTCACGATTTTTAATGAACAAAAAATTTTTTTTATTAATATTATTTTATAATAATAATATAATAATAATATTTGAATTATTAAAATATGAATTTAATTAAAAAATTTTATAATGTGCAAAATATTTAAAAATCCTTATTTTTAATGAAATGATAATAAAAAAT